AATAAGTTATTTAGAGACTATGGATGGCGAGGATAAATGTAATAAAGGGATCTACAAACATTACATTGGTGACCTACAGTGAGATGGTAACAGGCATGCGCTTAGGGCCCGCTTTCCAGCCAGTTTCTGTGGGGTGACGCATTCTGAGGTGAGGCAGATCTCATCTGTGCCTCACCTCACCCCACAGTAACTGGCTGGAGCGCGCTCACAAAATAAGTGCCCGCGCTAAATTAGTGCCCGTGCTCCAGCAAGTTACTGTGGGCTTACGAGAGGCAGAGCACGTCCCTGCCTCACTTGTCATCGCTCCCGTAGCGGAGCTCGGCAAATTTGCTGATTTTGACTATAAAAAGCGATTGGAATCATACATAAATCACACTTACAACACAGATCAGTGGAGACATTTTATTATTATTACTATTTAGTTTTTCTTTAGTTGTTTTTCCGTTACATTGGAGTATGACAGGTGAGGCTCTGCCTCCCCTGCCTCCCCTGACTGCATGTCGCTGGTACCTACAACTGTTGTTATAGAAGAGTAAGTTATTTTTACCTGTAATAAACTACTACTGTTTGATGAGAAATCAAATCATGGTTTGCTATATATGAATGATATGTTATAGGAGCAAATAATTCAGGGAAGAAAGGATAGGCCTACTAAGTATTTCCATCAAACTTTATTTTTAGAAATGTACAAAATGAACATGTGTAAATATACATATATACACGGTATATCATCCATTCCTCCCCTTATAGGCGTTTTCGGCATCTTGCCTATCGCAGCTTTGGCTGTCGATCGGCTGCCGGGGCTTTTTAGGACGAGGCATCAGAGTGGGTCATCCCGTGTGTGTGTTGTCCGCCAGATACGCCAGGAGTTTCCTGATCTGGCTGGACGAAATCAAATGCAAATCACAAAATATTAGAGAAACTTAGTTGTTTTAGATTCGTTAGTAGTAGTTGTGGTAGGAGTGTGTATCTATCTAATCCATCTATCTAATCAACACAGTAAGCTTGCCAGCTAATATGCTAACCTAGCTTTCTTGTTTACCTTGGTAGCAAACACGATATGAACGTTAGCTCGGAGGAACGGCAACTATAATGTAGTGTAATAAAACTACTATGAACAAAAGCTAGTGGTTCATATTTGGCTAGCAATAACGTGTTTATAATTGCAATCTTATACGGGTATTCTGCTACGTTCGGTCATTCATTGTAACTGGCATGAATACGATGTTTTCCGCTAGCATGTATAGCTAGCCTCGTTAGCTAGCCAACTGTAATGTACTGACCGTACGGTAAATCACCCGGAGTATACTGTATGAGTATTCCGTGTGTGACTGCAGACATTCTCCTGCCATGACAAACATGTAAGGCCATCTGCTGACATTGTAGTTGATATATTTAAACGCTAGCAACGTCGTTAGCCCAGTAAACACTGTGTCAAGTGTTTTCCCGAGCAAACCCATGTCTAGCTCCGTTGGTAAGCTCGGTAGCATACACGCTAGGAACGTCAGCTATAATGTAATTACGTTTCGTGACTGACCGTACGGTAAATCACCCGGAGTATACTGTCTATGAGTATTTCGTGTGTGAATGCAGACATTCTCCTGCTATGAGATACATGTATGTAAGGCCATCTGCTGATACTAGAGTTGATATATGGAAACGCTAGCAGTCCGACACACGTTTACACATTTAAACAGTCATGGTAGATACCTTGTTTGATAAATACACAAATAACAATGCAAACTTACAGGTTGTGTACCCGAATCTTCCCCTGCTCCAAACGGTCCAAACAAACTAGGAATAGCATCGTCCTTCAGTTTCAAATGCTGTGCATATCCGGCCTCAAACTGGGCAATGTTTTGGAGGCTTTCGCCTGTGAAATGCCGCGCACACAGTAACGTTCTTCGAACCTCTGAAGGAACAGTGTTAAACAGAAATTTCAACCACTGACTTCGTCGTGGTTCTTCCGTCGGTAGGACAAACAGCTCAGATTTCTCCTCACATTTCAGGAAACAGGTCCTTGGCATTGGCATGACTGGATCGATTGTGAACTGAACCAGAGCTTCTAACAGTAAATGTTAGGCTGGCAGAGGGTGCGGCCAGCGCCGCTGGGTGTGGCCATAGCTCTTCCGGATTGGTCCATTTTGTTCCGGGGACGGCATGACATCATGCCGTACCCGGAAGAATCAAATGGGCAGTGACGTATCTCCAACGAGGCGTTTTGGGGAGGTATTTTCTGTGTTAGAGTTTTACTCGCTACAGGGTGTACTTTGAGGGTTTTGACTCTGCACACCGTTTACATGCATAAAAACCTTCATAACACACAAGGGGACGGGTAATAACCGGAAAAGCATGACATGGGCCCTTTAAAAGATAAGATAAGATAATAAAGATAGGAAGTACTTTATTGATCCCAATTTGGGAAATGTTTGTGTTGCAGCAGCATACAAAGACAAGGCATTTTACAATAACAATTAAAAGACTAGAAATAAACAAGAAAGTAGAAAATATAAAATAAAACAGAGACTGAGATTTGTCTGGATCCCAATGAACAGCTATGACATTTTATTCAGTGGTGAAACCTCTATAAACTCAACAACTGCTCCTCTCATCTTTTGGTCATTAACGGGTTAACATGTGAGATAGCGCTGAGCAACCACTGTAGCCCACCAGCCAATCACAGCACTTTGTGGCAGGACAGCAGATGAGTACATAATGGTACATAATTAAATATATTTCTTAATTTTACAAAATGTACTGTTTTCTAGTCTATGTTTATGAATAGCTCGCATTTTTCTCTGGATCCCGGAAACAATAATGAGCAATAATTACATTTGATTCAGTGATGAAACAATAATAAATAAACTTCACTCTGTATAACTGCTCACCTTTCTGTCGGTCTTCACTTCCTGTTCCACATCAGAGTCACCTGAGAGAAGAAGTGACAGAGAAAAATTATAATAATAAAACTTAAAGAAAGGGAAATCTTAAAGGTAGGGTAGGTAAGTTTGAGAAACCGGCTCGAGATACACTTTTTGTTATATTCCATGGAATGCTCTTAACATCCCGATAGCAATGAATATCTGAAGAAAAATCCATAACAAAAATTCATCTGTGGAAGCCGTAGTACTGTAAAAAGCACGACCAAACTTATCTCGTGCCCTCATTGGTCATGTGCGCGTTCGTGTGTGTTGGAGGAGGGGCTCTGTAAGGAAGTGGCAGATTTTTTCCGGCTGTGTATTTTCAAATCCTAGCGCACTCGAGCTGGTTTCTCCAAAAAACCTACCCCACCTTTAAACAACTAAATGAAAATGGAATTAAAACAAATGTTTTGTTGTTCTATGAGGGCATGCTTTTAAGATCAGATTTAAAATGTACAATATCTTGATGAATGGAGGATATGGTTTCAGTACTCACAGGTCTTCTGGATCTTGGCTCTGATCGTCTCACCATTGATCCTGTAGGGATGAACACAACCCAACAGTTTTGGATCAAGTTTAAAATAAGTGTTTGTTCTTTGAGTCAGCTTCAGAGTCCTGATCTCATGCTTTACATCCCATCATATCTTCTCTGCAAACAGTACGACTGCTACAGCTCTCAGCTGCATTACAGGAAGTAACAGTCATTAGAAACTAAAAACATGACAGGAAACAAAACAGACTAACTTGTTCACTCCTCTGTTAAATCCTTTATATCCGTTAAAAATCTGAATACGTATGTGGCTTTGCATTGTCAGTTTACAATATATTATTTGTGGAATAATGACAAATAAATAAGCTGCAGTCAGTGGGTAACATGACTGATCTGTTGTGATTCCCCAGTGAGAGAAACACCTCCCTGTGTTTCATACAATACTGCTGAACCAGCAGAGACCCCTTACTGACCTGAGGGTCTCCAGTCTGCAGTCTGGCCTCTCCAGAAGATCTCTCAGCAGCTTCACATCTGAATCCTGCAGAGCGTTGTGACTCAGGTCCAGATCTCTCAGATGGATGTTGGACTTCAGAGCTGAGGCCAGAGCAGCACAGCTGATCTCTGACAACCTGCAGTACCTCAGTCTGAATAAAGAAAACATGATGAGGATAAAAATCAATTTATAATCCAATCCAATAACTGAAGGACTTTGATCATCATAATATCAGCCTGCTGTTTATTATCTGTGAAAACACATTGAAATGGATGGGAAGCAAGAAAAACATTTATACTTCAGAAAGTAAAGTTTATCAATGTCAAACTAATATTAGTTCAGATTACCTTCTTTATTTAGACGAGGCCATTTACTAAAGATTGAAAAACTACATTTACATTAAAAACTAAAAGTGGATATCTAAAATGTTTCCTTAAAGTGGACCTATCATGCTATATTTGAATAATATAGTGTAGGACCATACCTATATAAGGCATATTTATACTTTTTTTTTTTCAAAATACCAAACAGATCATGCATTTTAGCCATGCCTCATTTTGCTCAATTTGACATTTTTTAGCTCTGTTTTTGCAAGGGCTGATTCTGTGAGAACAGCACCATCTACAGGCCTGGCATATGTACTACAGCGTCTCCAGAGCTTTCGAACGGCAATGGCCGTGGCTGTCTCCTCCTGATTGGTGGAGTTGGCCCAATAGCCGTAGCGCCACCTTCCTGACGTCAGGACAGTGTTCAAATCTGGATCAGTTTTTATCAGATCCGTTGCAGCCCCTTTTTTAGAGATTTGGGTATGGAGGAAAATAGAGAGGGTTGTGTTTTCTGACACTTGGTGAGTTCCCTGGAACACCGGGGACACATATTCATGTATAAAAGACGTACAAAAGTGCATTTTGCATGATAGGTCCCCTTTAAAGGAACAGTCAACCTTTATGACTGCAGACTAAATGTAGTACAATAAAAATAAAAATATGAACAATATGACATACACTAAATAAATGTACAAGCATTAGGTTCAACTGTTAATGAAACACATGAGATCTCCAGCAGTAACAGAGAGTCAGTGAACTGACCCGAGAGTCTTCAGTCTGCAGTCTGGACTCTCCAGAAGATCTCTCAGCAGCTTCACTCCTGAATCCTGCAGATCGTTGTAACTCAGGTTCAGATCTCTCAGATGGATGTTGGACTTCAGAGCTGAGGCCAGAGCAGAACAGCTGATCTTTGACAACCTGCAGTTATACAGTCTGAATAAAGAAAACATGATGAGGATAAAAATCAGTTTATAATCCAATCAGATGTTCAGGTTTAATATGTGTAGCTCAACATTACTGCGTCCTAATCAATGAACTTTCCCCTGAATTACAGTGACTGTCATTCTGTTATTGTGGATCATCATAATATCAGCCTTCTGTTTATTATCTGTGAAAACACATTGAAATGAATGGGAAGCAAGAAAAACATGTATACTTCAGAAAGTAAACTTTATCAATTCAAAAATAATATAAATTCTGATTACCGTCTTTATTCTAAAGATTGAAAATTAAATGTTGCTTAACAACCAAAAGTGGATCACTAACATACTGTATTTCCTTGAAGGAACAGTCAACCTTTATGACTGCAGACTAAATGTAGTACGATTATTAAAGTAAGACAAATTCAAATATGAAATAAACTACATACTGTATACAATTGTATGGATGTAGTATATTCATGTACAAGTATCAGGTTCAATTGTTAATGAAACACATGAGATATCCAGCAGTAAGAGAGTCAGAGAACTCACCTGAGAGTCTTCAGTCTGCAGTCTGGACTCTTTAGTCCAGAACTCAGCAGCTCCACTCCTGAATCCAGCAGATTGTTGTAACTCAGGTCCAGATCTCTCAGATGGGAGGGGTTGGACTTCAGAGCTGAGGCCAGAGCAGCACAGCTGATCTCTGACAAGCTGCAGTCCGTCAGTCTGAATAAAGAAAACATGATGTAACTTTAGAAAACAAAGTTCCTGTTTGAAATAACTCCAGGTTTAATAATCTGTTCAGAGCTGAAAAAGTTTAGAAAGTGCAAACTCAAAACAGGTTAAAAACTGTAAGATACAAAAAGAGAAAAAGAGCTCTCATTAATATTAAAGACAACGTGCTGCTACTTCAATAAAAAGACTTCACATCTGAAACTCTGCTCCATCTACACTAACTCATGATGTGCAGCCAGACAAATAAAAACCCACAGAAACTGATTCAACTCAAGATCACAACGTTTACAAAGATCACAAATATGCCAGGATGAATTTTAAAGAAATGTGAAGAAAAACATCAACATTATTTATTTTAGAAATAGTGGAGTCATCAAATCACAGCATCTTCAGTTTGAAATCTTCAGTCAGTATCAGCATCATGTAGCTTCATAAAAATGTTGGAAAAAGCCAGTGGTTAAATATACAAAGGACATTTACTCAAGTAGTGTTTATTAGTAAAAGATATATGTACCTATACTTTACTTCAGTATTTTAACATTATGCTAGTAGCAGCAAAACTCCCTATGAGTTATGCCGCTGAGAGGCTTAAACTTTGCTCTTCACTGTGATGCGTTCCATACAAGAGTCCGTACTGTAGTTAGATTTTACAATGTTTCATAATGAAACAAAATAAATAATATCCAAGTCCGGACCTCACAGTCAACAGAAAGTGTCAGAGATATTCAGCCTGTCTTCTTAGTCATACACAAAACCGCTATCCAACAGGTGACCTAATGGCAATAAACCACACCCATGGGACAATTCCCAGTGATAACCAATAAGAATTAAACATGGTGTAAACAAATAAAGATAATAATAGAAATAATAAGCAATGGCAAAACAAGCATTTTGGCTCCTACAATGCTACTTTATCATTTTACTCCACTACATTTTGTAGGCAAATGTTGTACTTGTCTCTCCCTAAACTTATTTTATATATTTAGTTACTAGTTACTTTGCAGATTTAGTTAATAACAAATATAAATCGACACACATTATTATAAAAGTTAAACTACCCAGCAGGGGAGAGTGGAGTAAGATGAGCCAGTGGGTAAATTGACCCACCCCTGTATCTAGGCAACTGTGCACATTTGTTGTCATGTGACCATAAATTCATCATTTATATTTCACTGTGATGGAGAGAAGCACATGTTAAAGTGGTAAATATGTTTTTTTACACAATAAACCAAGTTTTTTACTTTTCAAAGTAACATTTCAACATGTCAGGTATAATTATTGAGCAAGGTGTAAAATCATATGAATAATGTAGTTTAAGATTAGCAGAATTGACTAAGCTAGACAGTATTTTTCCCCAAAAAGTGGCTGTGGGGAAAAGGGAGCCAAATGCTGTGGGTAAATTGAGACAGTGGGTATACTTATCCCCCATTGAGTCACTGGAGTTAAAGTGGACCTGTCATGCTATATTTGAATAATATAGTGTAGGACCATACCTATATAAGGCATATTTATACTTTTTTTTTTTCAAAATACCAAACAGATCATTCATTTTAGCCATGCCTCATTTTGCTCAATTTGAAAAATGTTAGCTCTGTTTTTGCAAGGGCTGATTCTGTGAGAACAGCACCATCTAGAGGCCTGGCATATATACTACACCGTCCTGACGTCAGGACAGTGTTCAAATCTGGATCAGTTTTTATCAGATCCGTTGCAGCCCCTTTTTTAGAGATTTGGGTATGGAGGAAAATAGAGAGGGTTGTGTTTTCTGACACTTGGTGAGTTCCCTGGAACACCGGGGACACATATTCATGTATAAAAGACGTACAAAAGTGCATTTTGCATGATAGGTCCCCTTTAAGTTAAGTCTCGGTAGTATAACCTTGTATTTAAATGTAGTTTTACACAACTGATGTGTTTTTTATGTTTTAAACATTGTATCAAACCCATCATGCCAAGAGAGTCCAAGAGAAAGAGTGAGGAGATAGAGAGAGCAGCCACTCATGGCAAGGCTGGAGAATCCATCAGAGCAGTGGCAAAAGACAGAAATATTGACAGGTCAACCCTGAGTAGATACTTAAAAAGGAAGGAGGACAGGAAGTGGAAATAGTAGGGTACAGTGGAACAGCATTACATTACATTACATTGCATTTAGCTGACTTACAATAAGTGCATTCAACCAAGAAGATACAAACTTGAAGAAAACAGAATCATATAAGTACATCAGGTCTCATAGAGCCAAAACATTTCAAATGCTACTCAACTGGCTTTAGATAACCCAGTCCGAAAAGTGGGGGGGACTGTCCCCAGTGGAAATTACGCCATGCGTGTGTGTGCGTCAAGTGCAATAAATATGCAATATATCTTCCAGACTGCAACGCTGGTCCCGCAAATCAAGCAAGAACGTGATTGGTCGATATTCATTGTGGGGGTGGGGGGAGGAGGGGTGTTAGATAGATATAGAGTTGTAGTAAGTAGATAGAGTTAGCTATGATTGAGGTTTCGTTTATGCATAGGGTAGATTCTTTTAATTACATTTCCTTTATTTTTGGTGTATTTTTTACATTTTGGATTTGTTTGGTGAGCGACTAATTGAGGGCTTGCGAGCTACCAGTAGCTCGCAATCGACGTGTTGGAGACCCCTGCTTTAGTGCCAACAGCAGAGAAGAGTAGCTTGCAGACTAGAACAAAAAAATGTCTGACCAGTTCCATGGCCTTACTCCAAAGAGATGTTGTGAACTGGCCTTTGAATTACAGACAGAAACAACATTCCTGTACCAAACAACTGGACAACAAGACAAGGGTTCAGCAGGTGCTTGTGAAAGAGATCACATGATTCAATAGTTCAGCTAGGTTTGTTTTACAGGCATACATTCTCTCCAAACTTGATTTATAATGTTGACGAAACAGGTGTCCCTACAGTTGAGACATCAAAGCAGGTAGTGGCAGAGAAAGGATGTTATAACTTTTTACTCATAAAGGACTTGTACTTGTAACTGAGTATTTTTACACTGCAGTATTGCTACTTTTACTTGAGTAAATAATCTGAGTACTTCTTCCACCTCTGGAAACAAAAAATACTGAATACTTTGTTAGGGTGGGATTGTATTCATGTATTTTAATGTAATTTATTAAAAATCATGATAGAGAATACAAGATGAATATATATAAGATGTTTAAGAGGTTCAGAGTGAAATGCAGTGTTGTATTTTTCTTGTTATATTTAAATCTAAAGCTCAACATCGCTCTGAGACAGTCAATTAACTAAACCAGAGTAGAAGAAATTAGACTCGAGCATTAAGATACTCAGTGAGGATCAGAGTAATATCAGCCTGATGTCTGCAGCTCAGAGTCAACACAACTCTCACATATTAATCTCAGCACAGAAGTTAAAGATGAAGAACTGACCTGAGAGTCTCCAGTCTGCAGTCTGGACTCTCCAGAAGATCTCTCAGCCGCTTCACTCCTGAATCCTGCAGATAGTTGAAACTCAGGTCCAGATCTCTCAGATGGGAGGGGTTGGACTTCAGAGCTGAGATCAGAGCAGAACAGCTGATCTCTGACAAACTGCAGCTCCACAATCTGAATAAAGAAAACATGATATAACTTTAGAAAACAATGTTCCTGTTTGTATACTGAATACATTTGTTAGGGAGTAATTATGTTTAAGTATTTTTTATATAATTTAATTAAAACATGATGAAAAATATAAATTGAATTTCAGGTGTTAGAGGTTCAGAGTGAATTACGCAGTGTAGAATGTTTCCTTAAATCTAACGCTCGTCATTGCTCTGCCACAGTCAAAGAACTAAACCACAGAAGAAGAAGATAGACTTTAGCATTAAGACACTCAGTGAGGATCAGAGTAATATCAGCCTGATGTCTGCAGCTCAGAGTCAACACAACTCTCACATATTAACCTCAGCACAGAAGTTAAAGATGGAGAACTGAGAGTCACTAGTCTGAATAAAGAATACATGATGTAACTTTCTTTAAATAACTAACAGTTTAATAATCTGTTCAGAGCTGAACAGTGTGTTATTTTCAGCAATGACGTAGATATAAATCTAAGATAATCTGAGCTCAAACTCTCTGCAGCAGTTTCTCTCTGTCATCAGATCTTTGACCTAACCTGAAATCATTCATCTCCCTCTCAGCTCCTCAGTACTGAAAGCATCTTCACTGACTCATGGAGCACAGTGTGAGTCTGTGGAAGCTCAAACACTCTCTTCTCACACATTGACCTTCTATAATGTTTGTTATTCTGCTAAATATTCCACCATTAGCAAAACAGAAAGAATATGAAATAATTTAAATGTTCTAAATCATAAACACAAACAAATCTGTATGAACTGCAGTCAGTGAACTGACCTGAGAGTCTGTAGTCTGCAGTTTGGACTCTTTAGTCCAGAACTCAGCAGCTCCACTCCTGAATCCTGCAGCTTGTTGTAACTCAGGTCCAGATCTCTCAGATGGGAGGGGTCAGACTTCAGAGCTGAGGCCACAACTTCACATTCAGTTTCTGAGAGTCCACAGCCAGAAAGTCTATAATATCAGATATCGTACAACATGTGATATTATAAAAAAAAGAGGAAACGTTTTAATACCTTCAAGCATTTGATAAAAAACATTTGACTGATTAACATTCACTGTTAGTCCATTTAATAGATTTTTTTATATGATAAATGCATTGCCAGCCTGTTAGAGCTTATTATAAACTCTCAACATACATCTACTGATGCATCAGAACACATCTTCAGTGGTGTTTCTGGAATCATCGGGGGTTTCGGGTTTTTCAACCTCTACACCCTCCTCCAGGTGACCCAGCCGGGGCTGATCAGACCCCAGCTGGTGTCCCGATGGCGAGCTACTGAGGACTCTAATGCTCTTCTCTTTCAGCAAGATCCATAATAAGCATTGTGGTCAAATCGGGTATTACCCGAGTCTCTGATTTAAAGATGAAGAAACTGCAAAGATATTAATAACTAAAATCACAGATTACTCTAAAATACTGCTGTATGTTGTGATCAAATGCTGTTGATGAAACCTGAACCAAAACCTCTAAAGTACTTCATTAGACATAGGACTTTTCCATTCAAATGACAAATAATAATATGGTAAAACAGAATATGAAATAAAATAAAGTAAAAATAAATTAAAGTAAAATAGTTACAAGTTAAAATAAGGAATAAATAAGATAATTATAACAAATACATTTATAATAGTAAATTAAATACAAATAAATAAAAGCATTTTACACAAGGAGTGACATCTTTAGCAGGATCGGTTACACGGGGACATTTTCCATAATGTTCTTTTGAAACTCAATTAAGTTAAAAACCTTTTCAACTAGCTAGACATCTAGGTATCTTTTAACACCGTTCCACCTTTTGATAAAGGAGTCCATTCTCATTTGTAGACTTGCCGTCAAAGGGAGTGTTAAAAAACCTAATTTTCTAATTCCCATTTCTCTCTAACATTCCAGGTATTTTGGGAGTCGTCCGCCAAGAGCCTCTTACATAAGTGAGAGACATGCTTTTTAGTTGGGAAGCACTTTTCTGCAATACTAATAAAATATTCTTCTATATTGTTAAACTTTAAACATCCATGACTTAAACACTTTATCCAGGATAAAAGCCACATAGCTGCACCTGCAAGGTGAATACAGCTGGTAAAAGAAAAAGTGTTTGAATGCGTACATTAACAGGTTTATGATATCACTGCCCCGTCTAAGACAGGATCTGACTTTAATTACATTTGACTCGAGTGTTTCGTCAACTTAATGTGTTGCTTAAAATAATACTTCTGCATACAGTATGTGACACTGTGAGTGTTGCACGGCCAGATACGGCTCAAGAAGCTGACTCAGATAAGGAAATATATGATACATTATGATGTGATATGATATGAATGATAATGGGACACATCGACGTCTGCACTCACAGTGCCGCGGACTGTACGTAATGTTACTTTGATCCGGTTACTTGTGTTGTGGCAGATATTTAAGTAAGCTTTCTTAACGCTAATGTTATAATAGTCAGATTGCTCTGAAGATGGGAGGGGATATTCTATTCATTTTCACGTTCACACAGTCAGTTGATTTTTGCCGGCCGTCTTTCCTGCAACGGCAGTTTTTCTGTATTTCCTTTCTCCTGTAATATGCTTTAAACTCCGCACACTGAGCTCTGATTGGTCAGCAGGCGGTGCTTTCACTGAGTTGATTTCTTATCCTGGAAGCAAACCTGCTCCGGACCAGGTTAGCCGTTCAGCATAAGTTACCATGGAGATCTAGCCCGCTAAGAAGTGAACCAGCATCGTAGGACCGGAAACCCAGAGTTTTCCCTGAAGTTACCTCGATAAGCGAAAATCCGGCTTCGTAGTACAGGCCTCTGGTCCCTTGACTCCCTATCCTTGGTTGCGGTCGAATAGTCCAAAAATCAGCTCCTAACGTCTATCCCTATCGTCTATCCCTTGACCTCTGTGTGAAACGTCACGGGGTTAAGGGATAGTGGATAGGATAATTCAAAAGGACTTAGGAGAAGAGACTGCGGTACTTTAGAGAATCCGACTGCACTTTCACTATCCGACGTGTTTATGATGCGCCAGCTCTCTCTCTCTCTAGGTCGTCCTCAGACGAGCCCTCCATCGTCGCTCCAGTCATCCCGATTCTCCATACATCACCATCCGCTGCGATGTTCCTGCAGACTGCCGCCGCTGGAAGTATAGGATTTGGGATGACTTTGTTCTTCATGGCTGGCTTTACTATGCTGATTAAGGACTGGGGGGCGCAACTCCTCTCAGTCCTGGTTTTAGTTCAGAGTGTCCTTCTCCTAGATGGGTTGCATTCCATGGCTATGAGCCCCATCTGCCCCTGCTATTTGCCCATAGCTGGGACAGTGGTTGGCAGGCGCCAGGGCGTGTCCACACACCGGTGGGCCTGCGCGCCTTGCCTCTGGGGCCCACTGTTGCTCCGAGATCCCCTACAGTTTAGCCTGGGACCTCACGGTACCCAGTTACCGTGTGTGGCCACGAGGAGGCACTGCAGAAGTCTTGGCGGTGGAGCGGCTTTGTACCAGCAGGAGGAGACTTACACACTCGGCTCCTCTTTTCACCCTCCGCGAGGAGGGCTAGCCGGCGGCAGTAGCTGAAAGCAGAGTAGCAAGCAGAAGCAGCATGCACTAACTACAAGCACTACTACCACAGATCTACTGCACTACGCATCACACAGCCTTGCATGCAAGCACACACAAATGCGCCAGCGGATGTCATAAATGTGCGTCTGCTGCTGTGGGGAAACTATGGAAACTACAGTTTTCTATACAGCGGACTACAACATGGATGTTTAATAAGAACGAGGGGACTACTGTAAACTCATCTAGAGACTCTGCACCGTGCTCTGATGCTGTTGTTTTATGCTTTATGAACGGGGACAACAGAGAAACATATTCTTCATGACCAAAGTTGGAATTGAATATCATGATATAATTTCTCGTTCATAATCGGTTGTTTCCGTGAACGGCCGAATGTTGTGTGACGGCAAATGCTGCGGCCGCAAGGCATTGTGGGGCAGCATTTTCTCCTCTCCTTTCGGTGAGGGAGGTCCAGTGGTTCCTAAGCTAAAGGAGGTTATAAAGGAAGTTTGAAACCTCCTTTCCTTTCATTTAGAGAATTCGAACGGTACTTATCATGGCTGCCACTGAGGGACTTCCGGGTCATTTCACTCCATTAGGAAGGTTCCTAAGCTAAATGGACTATTCGACTGCAACCCTTGTGTGTGTCCCTGCCCTGATTGTTTCCACCCGAGCCCAGTTACCTCATCAGTGTTTTCCCTATATACAAATAGTGGCGGCGCAGCGCCGCTGCTGAAATATGCGCGCCGCTGCTGAAATATGCGCGCCGCTGCTAGGGGGCGCCAGCCAGGTACCCAAAAAAATAAAAAATAAATATTTATTTTACTTTTTTATTAAAATAATAATAAGTGGCGACCCTTTTTCATTTTTGATTGTTTGTTATGTGGATTTGTAGTATTCTCCGATAGGCTCTGCTAATTTAGATGCTTCGTCAATTGTCAGTTTTTTTATTTTGAGGGGGTTTTAAAAAATCACAAATTCTTTCTTTCTTAAATTCCTGATCTTGCCCTTTATAAAAATGTGCGTAATATTTTGCAAAAGCATCTGCTAATTTTTTAGGGTCTGTTTCTGTCTGGTTTGTTTCAGGATTTTTTATTTTAGAGATAATGCGGCTGGACTGGGCTTTCCTAAACTGAAATGCCAATTATCTACTAGCCTTATTTCCCATTTCATAATATTTTCTATATGAACCAGAGGGCTCCGTCTGCTTTGTATGTTAATGCTTCATCCAGTTTCATTCTAGATTCCTTCAATTTTTTAAGTACTTTTCTTGCTTATGTTCCCTCTTTAACCTTTTAATTTCTGTTTCCAATTCTTGTTAGGGTTAGGGTTAGGGTTTCGCAAGTCTTTGCTTCTTTAATCTAGAACCTATAGAGGTCATTTTACCCCTAATTGTGGCCTTACCCGCATCCCCGAAGGAGAGACAGTACCATTATCATTCAAGGCAAAGTTTTTGGATAGAGACAATTGTATTTCCTGTTTTATATGGTTATCTGCCAGTAGTGAGACGTTGAGTCTCCAGTTCTTAAAACATTTATCTAGCCCTAAATTAGTTTTCATAGAGACAGGACTGTGGTTTGAAATTGTGATTGGTTCAATTACGCTATCTTTTATTCGGTATGTGTCCTTTTTTAATACAAAAAAGTAATCTATTCTCGAGTAACTTCCATGAACGTGGGACATGAACGTGGGACATGAACGTGGGACATGAACGTGAAGTCTCTGTCGCTTGGATGCAAATGACGCCAGATGTCGACTAATCCCAGCTCCCTCATCATGTTTAGCACATTTCTGGACATTTTAGGTAGGGGTCTCATCGTTACAGCTAATCTATCCATTTCGTTGTTCAGTATACAATTGAAGTCTAACCCTAACCCTATGATCATTATTCCCTCTCCATTATCTGCCACTAGGGCTGCAATCTTTTTATTTTTAATGTGGGCATTCTTCATTTGGTGCATACACATTTAAGATTATTTTTAGACCTGCTATCGTTCCAATCACCATAACATAACAACCCTCAATGTCCTGTAAGACTTTCTCATTGTTGTAGTATACTGATTTGTTAAAGGGCCCATGTCATGGCCATTTCCACTGATCATAATTACATTGTTGAGGTATACTAAAATAGATTTATACTGTGCAATTTTCCAAACTCACATTGGTTTCGCATACAGCATCTCTGTAAAGTATGTGTATTCAGCAGTATTCACTCTCTCCACTAAACGACTCGTTGGAGCTCTTGCCCCCCCCCTCCCTGTGAGCCTAGTGTGCTCCGATTGGTCAGCTCGGCATCTCTGTTCTGATTAGTCAACCACCAGAGAGGCTCCGCCCATGTCTAACAGTGCTTTTTTCGGCTCGCTCTCGGAACATCAGTCTTATAATGGCGTCGGTACAGCCGTATATTTTATACGC